GAACTGTTAAACTGCAGTTTGTGGTACTAGGTAGTGCCCTAGCAACTTAAAAATGTACTTTAAAATAGTCAACGGAGACAAGAGAGTCCTTTATTATGGAGAGAGTACTACAGTGTCTTGACTATTAAGACTGTAACTAGATTCCTGTTCTATGCTTAGTTCTATTCTCCATTTTAAGTTCCTCCGCAATCTCTTTACCCTCAAAATTCTGCAAGCGTGGTCAGTGGTCAAAGGAGTATGTATGTATTGGATCGTAGCAACAATCTTCTCTTCTCCCTAGCAGCTGCTACCTCTCAGCAGGTCTGGCAGACTTCCTATAATTTGAAAAGGGCCACCAGATATCTAGCCAACGGTGTGAAAGGTGTGCCGTATGACGGTGGTGGTACAGTACAAAACCGCCCTCATGCAAACTTCTTGGGTTCAGGGGCTGCAAACTAGTATGCGAACTCCATGGACTGGACATTTAGGTTTCAATAGATTTCTGACTTAGCTGACAGCCAGCAGAAATAATAAATTCTCATGCACCAAACTGCTTGGGTTCAAAGAAGCTACAGCCTGTAGTGATTCAGCCAGTGGCATTTCTAAATGTATAAATTGAACCACTCTTTTTCAAACTTTGTTGGCAGAATATTTCTTAAAATGCATTTTAAATTAGATCTGACGTTATGGCATGTTGACATAACATGGCTGTGCTGCACAAAGTGACCTTTGAATTTCATTTTATTCATGCTGCATAATATGTGACCCTTGCCTTGTAATTTATGCCTCAACGAGCTTCGGTATTTTACATAAACTCACTATTCATCTTTTTTAATCCCAGCGTTGCTGTGGGTTTGAAATCCTGAGGGCAGGATTCTGATCACTTGAGTTACTACTGTGTACCTCCTACCAAAACAAAGTGCTGAAGAGCTGTTTCTAGGATTTATATAGCCCATGAGCATATCAGCAACTCATATAAAGGAAAGAGTCTGGCCATAAATAATCAGTTTGTTGCACTGTTAGCATAGGTTCCAGAGCATGACAAAGGCTTACACAAAAACAGTGTAGAAAGAGACTTAGAACATGTAACTGGCCTACAGCATCCCTCAGTGATTCATGCATGGAAGGTGAGTGTCCATGAAGAAAGTAGATGTTACCCTTCACCGTTCCTCCTTGTTCTTCCCATCAATCCATGTGTGACGCTGCACTCCATATGTTTTATGGAAATGTGCTAATGAGTGTAAATATAATGTAACTGGAATATGCTTTATGCAAAAGGTCTCTTGTAAGGTATCATTACAAAGCTTATCTACTGAGTGTGTTCATCCTATTTGAATGAATGTATCATTTTTGTATCTAAAACTAAAAACATGAAGTATTACTCTGAAGTCCAATTGTAACTATGCAAAGAGTGGGCCATTAATGGTGGCTAGGAATCTTGATGGCTCCCATTAACTAGGACAATTGGTTGTGAATGGCTCTGTTTACGCACAAACCTTCCTGGGTACGTGCAGGCCAACCCTGAAAGAATGGAGAATGGGGTCTTACGGTGACATGTGATCATGTCACCTGGTACTGGAATCCATCTTAAACCTGCTGCTTTTCCATTTAGATGGAGGATTGGGGACCCAGAGAGACAAAAGATTCCCACCTTGTTCCAAAGCTATAAAAGGGGGTGGAACAGAACAAAGGGGGCTGCCATCATGAGAAATCCCTGAGGTACTACCTGAGCTGTAACTAACAAGAACTGTATCAGGGGAAAGGATTGGGCCCAGACTAGTAAGAAGTCTAGTCTGTGAAAGAAGCTTATTGGAACATCTCTGAGGGTGAGATTTACCTGTATTCAGTTTCTTAATGTATTAGGCTTAGACTTGCGTGTTTTGTTTTATTTTGCTTGGTAATTTACTTTGTTCTGTCTGTTATTACTTGAAACACTTAACTCCTACTTTTTATAGTTAATAAAATCACTTTTGTTTGTTAGTAAACCCAGAGTAAGTGATTAATTCCTGGGGGAGCAAACAGCTGTGCATATCTCTCTGTCAGTGTTATAGAGGGCCGACAATGTATGAGTTTACTCTGTATAAAGCTTATACAGGGTAAAACAGATTTATTTGGGGTTTGGATACCACTGCGAACTGGGTGTCTGGGTGCTGGAGATAGGAGTACTTGCTGAGCAGTTTTTGGTCAAAGTCTGCAGCTTTGGGGGCATGGTTCAGACCCAGGGTCTGTGTTGTAGCAGGCTTGCATGTCTGGCTCAACAAGACAGGGTTCTGGAGTCCAAAGCTGGCAGGGAAGACGGGCTCAGAGGTAGTTTCAGCACATCAGGTGACAGTCCCAAGGGAGTCTCTGTGACCAAACCTGTCACACCATGGATGCAAGGTCTTGAGCTTGGGCCAGAAAAGGATGGATCGGGAAATGTAGCACTTTCCACAGCATCATGCGGGGATTTCTGCCTGGAAATTCAGGCTGGAGATAATCCAGCTCAGAGCTGTATCACCTCTTCCTTCTGGGAGACCTCTGCCTCTGCTGCTGGAGGAACATACCAAGAATATGGTTCTGGTCTGATGTACTAGAATTCTTTGATCACTTCAACAAAATAGACAAAGGAGAACCAGTAGTTATAATTTTTTTTATGGACTTTCAGTAAGCCTTTGTCAGAGTCCCTCCAGGAGGCCATAAAGGGAACAGTACACTACTGTTCTGGATTAGAAGCAGTCTCGGGGATTGAAAACCAGGATTAATTGGTCAACTTCATGGTTTCCTCAAAGATCTGTGCTAGGACAGTATTTAAAATATTTCTAAATGAACTAAAGGAGGGACTGAACAATGAGGTAGCAAAAGCTAGATACACAAAACTAATTAGTCCAGACTAGCAACTGGGAAGCATGATAACAGATAACTCAGTGTTGACAAGGTAATGCAATTTGGAAGAAATAATGTGAGCCTCTCATATGTCTTGCTCGGTTCTAAACCGACACTAGCCATTTGGGAAAAGGAACTGGGCAGCTCAGTGAAAACATCTGTTTAATGGAAATCCAAAAAGCAAACAAAATGTATGGCTATCGAAGGAATGGGATAGAAAATAATGAAAATATTCTAATGCTATTTTATAAACCAGTGGCACATCTAAGATACTCTCCTCAGTGCTAGGATATAGGAAAATAGAAGAGGTACAGAGACAGATGAGAAAATAACTAGAAGGGATCAATAATAGGGAACATGAGAGGCATATAAAATGAGCTGTACAGAGAAGGTAGAATAAGTAACTCCTGTTTACTCACATGATACAAGAACAAGGGAACAATTTAATGTAATTGAACGGCAATAAATGTAAACCAATAAAAGGAAATATTTTATCCAACGCATAATTAACCTGTGTAATTGCCACAAGGTATCCAAGGTCAAGGGCTTAAAAGAATTAGAAAAAGAATATCCATTTCTATGGACAATGAGAATATGCACAGTTGCATCCTAGAAGATAAAAATGTGTATACTATGCCTTTTAGGTTATAAAAGGAGCCATTAAATGACTCTTAGGAAAAACATCCCCTATGGGCTATGTTACCTGGACCATTTTAACTCGAGTCCCCCCCAAATCAATTCTGTCCCAGTCCTCTCCCTATACTGATTAAAGTAATTTAATAATTTTAATAATGGGGATACAATTCTCCTTAATTTGAGCCTTTTTCTCTCATAAGGAAAAGCATGTTTTAGGACTACTGTTGTGATATATGTAAACATGATTGCTTCAGCTGAATAATGGAAAGTGACACATTATTATATAGTTATACAGAGCCAGATGTGTGCACCAATCTTAGAAAATCCTTGCCCTGAAGAGGTTACAGAGTGAAGAGGCAACAAATAGATGAAGAAAGGGAATGAAATGCAACAGAAAGCAAGTGACTGAACAGTGACATTTAGCTTATCTTTTTAGTTCCCTGATTTTCTCTGAAATGTAAGACTATCCTCTATTGTGTTAATACTTCTTACAATGAAAGACCAAGATTTACTGGCATGACAAAAATATTGTAACTCTTATTCAGTATTAAAGTGGCCTTAATGTACTTTATCTTAATTCACTTTGGAAGTGAATTAATTCTGTGTAAGGGTGCTCACAAAGGCGTTAAATGCAGTTTAACTAATCCACTGACTTCAGTGATCTTTGGATCAGGCCCTAATATTTGGAAAAGGCAAAAAAAAAACTTTGGAAACCACTAACTGGATGGTCAGTGTATACAAAGTAGTTAGTAGTAACTTTCCAGTTGTTTTTAATATGGAGTTAGATTTAGGCAGAAAATGCTGTAGGGCCAACTCAGTAAAATATGAACATTTCCATGTACAAGTTAGAGGTATTAACAGTTTAGTATGTTTAAAAATCTTTGAGACTTGTAATGGATTTCAGTAGTACTACAAAGGTAAACGAAAAAAGTGCCCTGCAGCATGATCTTTTTTCAAGTGACTGAACTTGGATCAATTATTCATCATGTCATTAAAATTCATGTAGGACTGAAGACTACTATTTGGTGCATTAAGTTATATAATGCAGAGAAATTACACCGCATAGGGTTTCTTTGTGCATGTTGTAATGGTGAGGAGATGCAAATTTTGTAATTTGTCGTCCGTCATCTAAAAGTGTTTCTATGTATCTTGGATTAAAATATTGCTTCCTCTAAGACATTTAGTACCAATTTTTAGACCACCGGAAAACTTTCAAGAGGGTTTCTTTTTTATGTCTGATTTGTAAGATTGGAAGTATGGGATTCAAGTGACTCTTCGTGAACTAGCAGATTTTTAGCTGTAAATGACTAGGACTTGTCTGAACTTTTGTAGCCTTTTATTTTATGTAAAGTGAATTTTTGTAATGTGGTATTACACCACCCTGCATTTGGCTCTGGTGGCTACAGTTTCAAGCTCTACAGAGTGAAAGTCACCTCTGCTACTTGTTTCAGATTTAGAGGATCTAGGAACATATAAAGACCAAAAATAGTGACCACACATACGGTTAGAAGTACAAGGTCTAGTCTGTTTTACAAGTTTTATTAAAGTTACAGTTAAGGTTATGATTACCCATGCATATAGAAATCCTACAAAAAACCATGCTACAAATATAGTCATAATCACATCCTTAATGATATTCTTGAGGTCTGATGGATGCCTTGCCAATTGATCATCAGTAGAGGGATGGTTCCTGCTGGAGTTTTCCCATAGGGAACTCATTTTACCCAATCAGGGAGCCCCCTCTTTTATAATGTGATTCTGACTATACCTTATACTCTGCACATGTGCATGAAAGTCAACCCTCTTTTCCCATATTTGTATTGTGTCCCCCAAGAATATTGGGATACCCCATTTTTCATAGCTTGTGTGTAGATCTTTTTGTTCTCATTAGCATTTGTGCACATAGTGCACCCTGCAGTTAGAACATGTGTTAGAAAAAGGTGACTACCAGGTATCTTGTCATCAAAAATTAATCTTACAGTTAATTTTTTGCAATACTACCCACTGGTATATCTTTTTTCGTAATTTTGTGGCAAAGGGTCATTCTTTGGTCACTCACTTATGTCAAGCATTTCTTAAGCATATAGCCTAGTATGGCTAAACTCATACAGGCCTCAGCTTGTAGGCCTGGTGTTTCAGCCCTGCTTAGATACCTAATGCATACTTATCATGTCTAAATACTGATTCATCTTATACTTCTATAATACTACAATTTAACTCTATTTAGCATACAGTGATTGTATAATACAGTATATTAGTTAATCATAACTTCACACAATAAATGAATGATAAAATGAAGCAATTGGCTACAACTTGCTTGGAGTTATATTACTACATGTCTTTCTATTGGTGTGATTAACCTCCGTAGATTGCAGGAGACTTCCCCTACCCCACTACAATAACAGTAAAATATTAATTTTGTCAGCTGACAGAAGAAAACATTTCTGGTTTAGTGGATTTATTGTACTTGTGGTTTACTTTTAAAACCAAACAGTCTGGCATGCTGCACTTTCTAGCCTGGGACTAGCATAATTGCATACATTGTCATCAGCAGCCCGTACAGCACTGTATAAATTCCTACATTCTAAATTAGACAGATTACTATTGTCACTTACAATACACCAGTGACCTGGTGAAGGTCCAGCCTTCAAGCTACTATTTTTGCTATGGAGGTTTATTTTGTTTTTAAATATTCTTAGGGGATTATCATTGAAACAACCTATGGAAAAAATGCAACGTGAAGTACTAATTACAATAATACTTCGCATTTTTAACACCTTCCTTCTGAAGATCTGAAAGTATTTTACAATCAGTTAAGCCCAAAAACACCCTTGTGTGGTAAGTATTATCCCCTTTTGACAGATCAGTAAATTGAAGCAAAGAAAGTTTAAGGCCCAGATCCTCAAAGGTATTTAGGTACTTCCATTAAAATTAATGGAAAAGTGCCTAAATACCTTTTCAGGATCTGTGTCCAGGTCACTTGCCGAAGGTCAAACAGTAAGTCTGTAGGAGAACCAGAAATAGAACCCAGATGTCTTGATCTCTGGTCTCACGCTCTGAATACTAGACAACACACCCTTTCTCCAAAATATACATTGTTTTAATAACATGCAGTTTTGAAAAATGTTTTCCCTTATGCTTTGTACTTTATATGTAGCTGTTAACCCCCAATAGTCTGGCTGTACCAATAGTTTAAAATTATCCTTGATAGCAGTACATTTAAAGTATAGCAGAGTTCAAAGTTTTGTGAAAGGTTCTTTGTATTTAACATAATACTACACAGTCACAGATGTAGCAACTGAGTTCCCCACTGGTGGTATGTGCCTGTTCCAATTTATTTTCCACATTTCATATACACCCTTCCTCTGTTTTTTTGTTTTTCCCTCCCCCAGGTTATGGTCACACTGTGCCTTTGTCGGATGGAGGAAAGGCCTTCTGTATTATATACTCCGTCATCGGAATCCCCTTTACGCTGCTTTTCCTGACAGCTGTGGTGCAGCGTATCATAGTCTATGTCACCAGACGGCCTGTACTATATTTCCACATTCGCTGGGGCTTCTCCAAGCAGATTGTTGCCATCATCCACGCAGTGATTCTTGGGTTTGTTACCGTCTCATGCTTTTTCTTTATCCCGGCAGCAGTATTTTCTGTTGTGGAAGATGACTGGAACTTTTTGGAATCTTTTTACTTTTGTTTCATTTCCCTGAGCACCATTGGTCTTGGCGACTATGTTCCAGGAGAAGGTTACAATCAAAAATTCAGAGAGCTGTATAAGATAGGAATTACGTGTAAGTACCAAACTAACCATTAAATAATAGTCATTTAGCCAATAGGATTTCTACGTATTAGGTGCCTCTTTCTCCCCCTCCATATTCTTTGGTTACCTTACTTATTCATCTAGGCCTTATGCCCCCTTATGAGTTGTTAACCATGATATATGGGTTCTTCCTCACTCTCCCAGCCCCCTTTAAAAGCACTAATCTGAATAGGGAGTTTGTTAAATGAAGATTTGTTTGACAAGGTATTAAAGTTTTTAGCTATCTGGGCTGGAGGGTTTTTTTCCTCTTCTGTGTGTGTTTCGTGGTTTTTTTTTTTTTTTTAATTTTTGTGTGTGTTTTAATATAAACTGAAATAATGTCTTGCCAGACAGAGATTAATACACCAACCTGCATCCCCAGTACAAAAACCCCAAGTGCAAATTTGGCATTAATGCTGTGGCAGTCAAATAAGTGATAAGGAGCAAGATAATCAGTTAGAACTAAAACTGGTTGAAATTTTCCGAACTTCAATTTAAAAAAACAAACACTTTCTTTGAAATTTCAAATGAAAACCAAAAAAGGGACAATGTTCACGAAAATTACATCCAGTTTTTCGACCAGCTCCATTTATAACATCCTTTAAAAAGCTGTGCAGACCTCTCAAAAGCTCCCATTAGTCCGAGTCAAAAATTTTCCAGCAGAACTGTTTTCCACCGAAAGATGCTTGATTCATCAAAATTGAAACACGGAACATGTTGATTTTGAAGAAATTTCGTTTTGGAGGGAAAAAATCAGCATTTAATTTTATGTTTTATAATTTTTATTTTAGTTTTTAAAAGAAATTAAGAAAACAAAGTAAATACAAAAGTATAAGAATCTACTGTTTGAAATGTTGACTTTGATTTTGATATTTGGGTCTTAATGCATGTCACTGCACATTTCTGAGCACATTGCTCTTGCACATGATGCTGAAGATTAGCATTTGGTTTTGGTGTTTGTCAATTTACATCACAGCTATACCACTAGGGAGCCTGTGCACTGATGGAATAAGAAAGCAAAAAGGCTTTAAGCTCAGTTAGGAAGTGGCTTGCTAAGAAAGAAGAGGCAAAAACAAATCTCCTTCTTCCAAATCTGAACTGCTGGTCTTATTATTTGTAATACTCTAGTGCTTGGGAGCCCTAGTTATGGACCAGGATCCCATTCTGTTAGGTGCTGTATAAATACAGAACAAAAAGATAGTGCCTGCCCCAAAGAGCTTAGTCTAAGTATAAAAGAAGAGACAACATAATGGATACAGACAGATGAGGGAGTACAAGGAAACATTGAAACACTATTGGGTAGCATGACAGGCAATTGTCTTGGTGTACCCACAGCCTAACTGTTGGTAAGCTGCTTCTGGGTATCATGGAAAAGGAGTTTTCAAGAGGGTTTTAATGGAGGATAATGAGGTAGCTTTGTAGACGTTTTTGCACCTTTTGAAGCCTTAGCACCGGAGAACATGTGAAGGGGTGTGTTTAAAAACTTAACAAGTAGGCGATGGAGCTGCCATGGGCTAGATCGGAGGCAGGAGGCAGTATCTTGATAGCGAATGAAAGATGATAGGGTGGGGACAGGCCATGAAGGGCCTTGAAAGTTAAAACAAGTAACTTATGCTTGACGTGATAGAGAAGGGGGAGCCAGGGGAGGGAAAGTAAAGAGAGGGGTTACGTGGTCAAAGCGACGGCCTAGGAGAATGGTCTGTTGCAGCAGCATTCTGAAGGGATATGAACAGGGCAAGATTCTACAGTAGCAACACAAGGGTGCACATCGTTTGCCTTCAAGCTTCATGCCAAGCAATCCTGAATCTATAATTAAAATGCAAACCAAGTCAAACACCTACCAAGTCCTTCCATCACTTTGATGGACTGCTGTGTGCCTCCCGCACTAAGGGCATGATCCTGCAATCTTAATGCAGGTGAAATTCCTGTTCACTTAAATGGGTGGCTTGCCTATATAGGGACTGCAGAATCATGCTTTGAAAATGCATTTTCAGAAGCAGAGCCTTGAGCTAGCCAGCAGTACACTTTATTTTTAACCTTTGTGGCAGTATGCCACTTGTACCCCTGTGGCTAAAGATCCCCCCAACCTCCCCATCCTGACTGACCCATTGGTAGGAGCATTTAATTATTTAATTACTGTGCACTTCCACAGAGTAATATGTCCAAGTGCATATGAAGAGACTTAGGTTACAGCTACACTACAGCTTATGTCGATATAATTTGTCATTCAGGGATGTGAATAAGCCACCCCACTGAGCGACATGTTACACCAACCTAAGCACTGGTGAGGACAGCGCTATGTTGGCGGGAGAACTTCTCCCACTGATATAGCTGCCACCACTCAGGGGGTGGATTAATTAAGTCGACAGGAAAACTCTCTCCTGTCAGCTTAGAGCAGCTACACTAGAGAGCTTACAGTGGCGTAGCTGCAAGCTTGCTGGTATAGCCATAGCCTTAGTAAATGACGGGCTGAGAGCCAAAATACAGTGTCCAAGTCTTTCCAAGAAATAAGGGGAAGACCTAGGGCTCCCAGTAACTCATGTGGAAATTCAAATGGGTTGGGAAGCTCTGAAAGAATTATCTAGCTCCTAGTGCAGATTCACAACAACCTTGCCATTTTTTGCCCTATGTAAATAGAAAGGTATCTTAATGCATAACTCACTTAGTGATTTCATGAACTAAAGCTTTAAAATGCTACATACATTGGAACTGTAGTGTTGGTTTAGATCAGCGGTTCTCAGCATGGGGATCATGGCTGGGGTGAAAGTAAAGCCGAAGACTTACTGATACAGGGGGCCGGACCTCAGGCAGAAGGGGCGGGGTTGGGGGTCAGTGTCCCGCAGCCAGCCCTTCCACGCTGCCTGGCCTGCTCTGCCTGGGGCTCCAGGGGCAATTTAAAGAGCCCGGGGCTCCGGCCACTGCCCTGCGTCCTTTTAAATTGCTGGCCCCGGGGCAGCTGCTCCTTTTGCCCGCCCGCATGTCATTGACCGGGGGGTGGGGGATGCAAAAGGGGCAACAACATTAAAGTGCTGCTGCGGCAGCATTTGCCACGGCAGTGCTTTAAAGTCAGCTGGGTATGAGCCGGTACTGGCAGCCACTTTTTACCAGCACACTGCACCAGCTTACTTTCACCCCGATTATGACTTAAATTGGTTTGTAGGGGAAGAAATGTGGGGGCTGTGATATTTTATGCAGAATCTAGGCTTTCTTTATAAAAAATGGGGAGATTATATATAATATATATATATATATATATATATATATATATATATATATATATATATAAACTCCTTTATAAATAGTTTAGTCCCCATAAGTCTGTGCAATAATATGCTGTACAGGATAGTAATTATTGCAGCCCTTTACATTTGGATAGTGTTCTTTGTAATCAATATATATTGCATAGATTTGTAGGGACTGTTATTTATAATGAAGTCAATTCCTGCTGCCCTTACTAACACAAGACTCCCCACAGAAGCTGTACAATATTAATATGGGCACATGCAATAGTATTTCTGAATTACAAATCGTGGTGGCCTCGTTAGAGTATTTAGAATAAAAAATCCTTGTTGGACTATTTTCCTGGGAGTCCTGTTCAGGAAATTGGGTGTGTCTGTGTTTGGAGAGGAAAATAAAGAACATGATGGATTATTAGCCCTAGGAGGCCTGATTGTTCAGAAGAGCTCCAGTGCAAGTCTATGGTCCGCCACAGAACCTCAGAGCATGATGGTTTTGCCTCACAAAAACAAAATCTCAAACGTGTACAACATGCAACAAAAGTCAGTGGTAGTGTTTGTGTAAGTAACACCAGCAGGATTTTGCCTAATTAGTGTATGTATGTAATGTATGTATGTAATATGTATGCAGTCTTCATGGTTTTACTATGTAGTTCTTGGGGGGGGGGAATAGAAACATTTGTCTGTCTTCAAAGTGACAGCAGTGATTGTACACATTTACGTGAAATATTGGACTTTTTCTTTTACTTTTTTGCATACATTTCTAGGCTTTTGCACTTGTTTTATGGTACAGGTTTTCTTCATACATTTTTAAATTATAAGTATATACATAAGGAAAAGACACTTTCATGTTATATTGTTTAACAGTTCTGTATTATTGAACAGATGTAATAGCCAAATGACTGTATTGAACTTCGTAAAACTACTATTTCTATTAACAATGTGCAATAGTAATAATGAAAAGAATTGAAGAATGCACAGTTCATGAAATTATATATGGGATACATTATTATTGAAGTTATAACATTCTTATGCATTGCATGTCATTGCCTACTTTCCCATATGGAACACAATGAACTAAAACAATTAGCAAATTATTTCATATTCTAGCATTTTCTGTGGTCGTCTTAAAAAAAAAATACAAAGGGCTACATGCTCATCTGGTGCAAATTAGTTTTCTTCTGTCCCCCAAAATTCTATGCCTAGGACAGAAAGGAGGGAAAAAATAATAGTCCAGGAATCATAGGTGGGAAAAACTCCAAGTTAGAGCTTTATCACATCAGCTTTCCCGGATAATGCTTCAGGCATTGTGTTTTTCTCTGAGCAAGCTCAAAAGCTTGTCGCGTTTTACCAACAGAAGTTGGCTCAGTAAAAGATATTACCTCACAAACCTTGTGTCTCTCTTTGTTTCTTGGGCAGGTTACCTGCTGCTGGGCCTCATTGCAATGTTGGTGGTTCTAGAAACTTTCTGTGAACTTCATGAGCTCAAAAAGTTTAGAAAACTGTTTTATGTGAAGAAGGACAAGGAAGAGGACCAAGTGCATATAGTGGAACATGACCAGCTTTCCTTCTCTTCGATTTCAGACCAAGCAGCTTCCATGAAGGAGGATGAAAAAGCAAATGAGCCTTTTGTGACTGTTCAACCTGCAACTTACTATGATGGCTGTATAAACAATTAATACGAGGGCATCCATACCAATATTATAGTGCACTTACATCATTACAGTAAGAAATAGAATGCCTCTTTATTTTTTGTGGGGAGGAAATTTTTAGAGAAGAAAGGAGACTGTGCTGCTTTAATCAGTATTCATCATTTCAGATGCTGAAAAGACTTCTGACACAAATGAATGTTGCTAAAATGGAGTTACACGGGGAGAGTGGGAGGATATGTAGCAGCTGGGAAGTAGTGCTTTATGCACATCCCTGTCCAGTTAGCAGCCCTATGGGCAGTGTGCAGTGAAAGTTGAAGTGGCCAGCCTCTCCACCAGGTTTCTGCAGTGGGATCCTGCCCCATTAAAGTCAGCAGTGATAGATATGCTCCAGTTCAACCACAAGCTGCCAGGCTAGATGCAGGAATCATTGAGTGAAATTCAACAGCCTGTGTTATGCAGGTAGTCACACTAAATGATCATAGTGGTCTCTTTGGGCCTTAAAATCTGCGCCATGAGAGTTTTACAACTGACTTTAATGGACATAGGATCTGGATCCTGTAGCACAAGTAGCCATATTAAGACTGCCTCCTACAAAAGAGCAGTACTAGGGAAAGCCCTCTCCCTTGCAGTATGTGCATGCCAGATGGGCCATAACTTGGCTGTTAGTGTTCAAAGATGAATATCTTACTGTAATAAAGCAGCAAAATTAAAGTGTCTGGACTTAGCTGACATGAGAAGAATACTTGAAATTAATTACCTAAAAGATACCATATGTGAGTTTAGTTATAGCTAGTGTTGAGCAGATTTTATACCTTTTCGGGGAAACTTTACTTTATGGTTTAAATCCATTAAATCTATATGACTAAAACTTATATTTAAGAAAATAGAGCTAAAGATGTTTTGTTAGGTTGAAGCATACTGTATTTGCATGTTCCCAACAAAGTGGCTATTTTTGTACCCAGCCTAAGTTAAAACAACTCTATTTATAATGAAAGTTTAACTAGTATTTGTGTACATATATACATAAATAAATATATTTATCTACTGTACATATATTGTAGCCTACTAGTTTATCTGATTTAGGAATGATATTTTAGGTAGATTTTTTTTCCCCTGCTAGATTTTGTCTTTATAAAAGGAATAACTCAAAATTGAAGCACTAAAAATGTTGACTTTAAGATTTAAGAGTAGTGTACAAGGAACATTTCTACTGTTTTTCAGTGAAGTTTTTGAAGTTGATTGATTGTCTTTAGTACTTGAAAACACACAATTTCTGTCAAGCTGAATGTATTACTAAGCTCTGAAGAACATGACATGCATAGAAACTAAGTGATGTGTGCACAAACTGCGAAGTACAGACACTTGATACTAAAGCACAGAATTAAATATAGAAGAAAGAAGCTGAACAGTCTGCTGTGGTGTATGTGAATATACAATATTTTAAACGTAAAGTTAAATAAAAAAAGTTTGTGGCTTCTGGCTGCCTGTACTTAATAGTGCTCAATGTTTTCTTTAAGAACTTATGTACTGTACATAGATGACATATATGAAAAAAAATGCTTGCATAAGGCTAGATTGTGCCACCCTAACCCTGGTGAACAACTTCAATGGGACCATTCATTTTGAATATACTTGCCAACATGAATAATGAATGTACAATCTAGTCCTCTACTGATTATTTCTATAGAATAACATTTAGTATTTGAAACAAAAATAAACACACTTTAGAATGATAACAGCAAATAAAACACAGTAATGACATTTATTTTAGCATTTCAAAATAACTGATCTGTTAATTAGGGTTAATGCGAAAATGGTCATATCCAATTATTATTTGTGTCTATAGAAATGTTCTAATTCCTACAAGTGTCAAATAGTCATGTGAAACCAAAGGTAAATTAATGAATGAGGCTAACATGGTTAAGATAGGCTCTGGATTAGAAAAGGGAAAGATTCCTTTGCATCAAGGCCTCTTGTATAAATTGGAAATATGTTACTGAAGCTAATCAGAAGTCAGGCTGGCAGATACAAATTGAAATAGAGAGGAAGGGTCTGCAAACATAAATGAATGATCTGCCAGGAGTGTAGAAGTCCTAAGAAGAGGAGTCGGAAAAAGTAAACACTCTATTTTTTTATAGAGAAGAGAATAAGGTCCCATGGCTTCAGTCTTGCACCTACTGCACACCTCCCCCTGACTTCAGCTTGTACAGGCATATGTCCCATTTACACTTAGAAAAGCATTACTACTGTGCAGACGGGCCATATTCTTCATCTTTCCCTTGTTTGTCTTGCACTTGAAAATGGGAATTGTTTGTCTCTAGGAACAACATTGTCAGGCTATTCTGTAGCCACTTTTGTTGGGAGAAGTCTTGAGCAAAGTGATTAGTCTTAGAGTGAGCCCTAAATGTACCAGGACTGTGGCTTTTTCTGATCTCTAGTGTAGGGGAGTTCCTCAGTCAAAATTCATTCTGCTGCAACCCTTCTGTCCCATTCCCCAAGAATTTCTCACTGGAGACTCAGTGGCAGCTTGTCTGCTGAGCACAGTTGTTGCAGAGAGAGACGCAAGTTCTGGGATAGCTAAGCTATAACCCACTGAAGGCATAAAGATTAGAACTGGGACCTTAACATCTAGCTAGCTAGACATTAATTTCCGAGCCATTGCTGTAGTATCTGATAGGGCTAGAGAGCCAGCGCCCCCGTGTAATGTGCTCTTATCTATGTCCCACATACGAAGCAGGCTGATGCACATAGAATCACACAGAGATTCTATATACCCACCACACTTTCAAGTTAATCCTAGGTACAGTTCTTGCTGTAACCAGCCCCCATATGCCAAAGGCATAGATTACTGTGGCTAGGTGGGATACCCAAATGAGAGAGGTCCCCTGGCCACCTGGAGATGAGGAAAATGATTTAGTCACTGCTGTTACCTGGCTATTTGGGAGCAGTCTGGACACCACTTTTCACACGTTGCCTCTATATAAATCCATGGTACGCCCACATCTTGAATACTGTGTACAGATGTGGTCGCCCCATCTCAAAAAAGATATATTGGAATTGGAAAAGGTTCAGAAAAGGGCAAGAAAAATTATTATGGGTATGGAATGGCTTCCATATGAAGAGAGATTAATAAGATTGGGACTTTTCAGCTTGGAAAAAAGACAGCTAAGGGGAGATATGATTGAGGTCTATAAAATCATGACTGGTGTAAAGAAAGTAGATAAGGAACTGTTGTGAACTACTTCTCATAACAGAAGAACTAGGGGTCACCAAATGAAATTAATAGTCTCCAGGTTTAAAACAAATAAAAGGAAGTATTTCTTCACACAATACACAGTCAACCTGTGGAACTCCTTGACAGAGGATGTTGTGAAGGCCAAGACCAAAACAGCGTTCAAAAAAGAACATGATAAATTCATGGAGGATAGGTCCATCAATGGCTATTAGCCAGGAGGAGCAGGAATGGTGTCCGTAGCTTCTGTTTGCCAGAAGCTGGGAATGAGCGACGGGGAATGGATCACTTGATGATTACCTGTTCTGTTCATTCCCACTGGGCCACCTGGCACTGGCCACTGTCGGAAGACAGGATACTGGGTTAGATGGACCTTTGGTCTGACCCAGTAGGGTCATTCTTATGTTCTTATGAACTGAAAGCTCACCACTCCATATGATTAACTTTAACAATACTCATATTTTGATAATGAAGGCTTTGTTGTACTTATAAAGCCAGCCATCAGAAATGTTAGGTGCCCAGTCCCTAAATGAACAACACACAAATGCTGGCCCCACTGAAGTCAACAGTAAAATTCCCACTGATTTCACTAGGGCAAAGATTTGACCCTTATTTCCAGATTCTGTTCTGTGTTAAATCGGAAGTAGCTCAAATAACGTTAATGATATTACTTGAAAGCTACAGTGTTGTAAAAAGAGTTTGGTTCTCACTCCATACAAAGTGAACTAGTCATGGTTATTATTGTAATATGCTTTTAACATAATATTCTACTAGATACACATTTTTATCTTCACAGTTTACTAGTTCCATCAAATTTGTTTCACTTGGAAATAGTGATTTCTAATTGCAGTAGGGTCACTTTGACTTGATATGAAAAATCACATGCTATTTAATGCAAATTCCACTTGCTGAAGTATGAGTGAGTGCTTTTTATCACTGGGGTCCTTTTTTTACCAGGGAAGATTTCTTGATCCAATTATCTTGAAATAGCATTATGTTTCTGCTGATGGTTAGTTCCATTGTACAGTGTTATTTTACTCATCATGATCCAGATACACTGCACACATCATTTAACAGACAAAGAGAGACTACTGTGCACCATGGAGGTTTTGGTTAAATGACAGACTGGATAATGAAGAGGCAGAACATGGATGGGAACATGTGAAAAAGATGACAGTCATCCGACTGAGTGGCACAATGTGAAGGCTTATTATGATGGAGAGCATAAATCAGAATGATAATGAATGTCATGATGACAACATGCTGACATTTTGCAAAGTGTAGCTCATGGTTTTAGCCTCAACTATTACATGGCTTTATTCCAGTGAGAGAGAAGAAAGTTTGTAGCTAGAGGGAGGAGAAAAGATATTGCTAACCCTTACCTGAAATGAAATTCAATGGAACCCTTTGATGGTGAATTTTTTTTTTCATAGAATAACTTCACTATAAAATGAGATTCACTATACCTGGAATTGCCATGTATATGTAGCAAGTCACTGAAAACATTTGGAACAGAGTCGCACAGGTTTTGTGCTCATTGGAGGAAAATGATATTGTTAAATGCAGTAAACAAAGAATTTTATATAAATGTCCCTCTATTAAGTTTAGGGGATAAATAATCAGGTTGCAAGAAGGGTAATTAAGCATCACAACTAATGGTTCTAATTTGGTCATACCTTTTAACCTATTGGTTTACTTAATCTGGAGTTGCTTACATTGTTAGATCCTTATCCCTGCAAATAATATAGTGATGCATTGAACAGTGTATCGGACACACTCGTTCTTTCTCAAGTGAAAGAGCCACTCTGCTGGGAGGAGGAAGGTTCACATAGCACAGTTGATCACTAAAGGCCCAGTTTTGTGTTCTGTTACACAGATGTAACACACTGATGGCAACAGAGCACAGACTTGGTCCTAATCTTCTCTTTCTTGGCGGTACTATAGGTAAGGAGGCTATGGGCCAGTTAATAGCACACAGGATTGGGAGTCTAGAGACCTGGTTTCTGTTTCCAACTCTGCCGCTGACTTTCTCTGTGACCTTAGCCAAGCTACATAACTTTTCTGCACTTCAATTTCCTCATTTGTAAAATGTGAATAAGGATACTTACTAGTGGATGAAAAGCACTGACCTATTTTTTTATTATTATTTTTTATTATTATTATTTTTTTAATTTGTATTATGTACAGTAAGTGGATGGACACACTCTCAAACTGGCAAGGTAGGTTTAAGAGGAGAACCAGAGCCCCTTATAAGGGGTGTGTGATGGGCTGTATACCCCTCATTGGCACTGAAACAGTTAAGAAGATCTGGGTAGCTCAGTTAGGGCACCTGGTAGCAACTACTGGGTATATCAGATTCAAATTAAGGATGAGATGTCAACTGAGAAGAGCAGGTGGTAAACCTAAGGGGGAGTTGGCTAAGTGGTATCTCTCTTGATTGCTGGGGAAAAGCCAGGAGAGATACAGAGAAGCCACCAGGATGAATCAAGTTCTAGCAGTAAGTCTTGATAAATGGGCAGGATCTGGACCTCCAGAGATGAAGCCTAGGGAGGTGTTCAGCTGAGGAACAGAGCACTGATGAAATGTAAGAGGAATGAAAGCTCAAGCCTAAGGAGGGCACAAGAGGTTAAAGTTTATATTTTTATTTGGAATTTGTTGGGGGGACTCCACTGGGAGCCTGGTAAGCACCTGCTATCAAAGAAGGTTGAACCCTTAGAGGCCATGGAGCCTGAGAAGAATATAGGTACATGGTGGCCCCAGGAAGGGCTTGAGGGAGAAGCCCATAAAAGGAAGTGGTGGGGAGGAGAGTGTGAATACAGAGACCTGGCCTGCTTAATACAGGGTCTCTGGCTTGAAACCCAGAGGCATGGAAGGGACTGGGTTCCCCCAGAAGCCACTGAGAAGGTAGTGTGAGGACTCTAGAGAACAGGGATGGAAGGCTTAATGAGTCTAGATTCAGATCAAAGACTTGGCATGAGGCTGTTAGACGTTTGTTGGTTGGACTCTGTAACCCTAGAAATGACCTGGCCAAAGGGCTGAGTCACAAGAAGAAGCAGACCACTGCTGGGCTGGAGTAGCTGTTGGCAGGAGATGGTAGATGAGGCAAGCTTGCTATGCCATACCCAGTCATGAAGGGACACACCAGGGCTAAGCCCCCTCTTCAAGAGTGGGAAAGCCCCTGAGTTGGTTTTTAATCAGAGCATCATGGAACAATTTTACTTATCAATATGCCAAATACAGAAGCAGTCTGATAAATGCTCAT